ACCTGAGGGCACACCCTGGGCAGTGTGGGGAGATGGGGAGTGGACCATGCCACCTCTCCAAATCCCCTCCTCCCCCCAATGTTCTTCTGGCCAAAGGATTGGAGGAAGTTGGAATAGACTCTACAGTCCTTAGAGATGCTCCCTGGTGAGTCCAGTAAACTGTAAAAAGGTGGAGGGTACTGGGGTAGGAGTGTCGGCTTCTGACTCAGATGAGATCAAGCTCTGGCCCTGCCATTTCCTAGCAAGGCACTTCGCTCCCTGAGGCTCTGTCTTCTCCTCTGCATAAGGGGGGCAATATTGGTCGGTCGTTGGGAATCAAATGTAGCAAGTAGGCCGTGTAGATGGGAGCGGGTGTCACTTACTGTTCCACCCTCCTACCTCAATCACCCCACTCCCAGATTATCTCCAGATGTTTGGAGCTCCGGGTCTCTGTCCCAGCATATTTAGGGAGCCCACCAATACAGAAACTGGACCGTCTAGGGACTGTCTCTGCCTCCTTCCTCAAGTCGGTATTCACTTCTTTCCTGATTGGCGGGGCCCGCTAGAGGCCAGCGCCCCTGGCCGAGACAGAAGGATACTGCCTTATACAAAACGTTGGGATGTGCTTTCTCCCCCAGCTCTTTCAACGAAAACGTTCTCGCCTGGGTTCTTTAGGCTGTGGTGGCCTCAGGCTTGACCCCAGAAGACCTAGTCATTTCCGAGGCCGCTCTCGGCACTTCGCCGCTCCCCTTATGTCCCTTTCCAGACCCCACCCCAGCTTCCTCCCTCCTCCAAAGCCCCGAGTCCAGCGCGGCACAACAGGCGGCGCTTGCATACCCCGACAGACCGCCTCGGGAGGAGCGGCTAGCGAGGACCGGCGGGGACCCCGCCCCCCGCGCTGCCACTGGTTCGACAGTGAGATAAGGGGGCCCATCTCCAACGAAGCGGAATGCGAGAAGGCAAACTGGTCTTTCGGTCCCGCCCCGCTGGGTCACGTCAGTCTCGGGTTCACGCACTGCAATTGGCCCGCCCGAGCCGCTTTCTCGGCTCCACCTCTTGCACTGCGATTGGTCGGCTGGCGGGGCCCCGCCCCGTTTTCCTGGAAAGTTCTTGGAAATCTGTCAGAGGTGTTTCCTTTCAAGGCCGGAGGCCCCAGACGCGGGTGCCCACGCACCCACCCGCGCCCCTGCCCCCCTCCCGGGCCCCGAGCACAGGCTGCTGTTCTAGGAAGGCGCCGCTTCTCGGAAGGGCTGGGACTCCGCGGACAAAGGATTAGGCGGCGGCTCGCCCCGCCCCCCTCGCCCTCCCGCGCGGTCGCGCCGCAGCCTCTCAGTCCTTGCCCGACGCCCGTGCGCCCCGGGAGCCTGTCCTGATCGCTCGCTACGCGCCCATTGGCTCCCTCCCGCCGCCGCCGTCAGGCCGCGTCCGCATTCCGGACCTTAGCTGCCGCTGCTGGGACATGGTCCTCTGCGTTCAGGGGTAAGAGCGGCTCTCCGCCCCAGCCCAGCCTACGCGCGGGGCGCACCGGAGAGCACTGGCCTCGTGCTAGTTGCCGGGCTTTGGGAGGACATGACGGGCCGAAGGTGACCGAGTGCAGAAGGACCTCGGGAGTGTGGCGCTATACTCCCTCCCACACGCACTCACCTCTACCCACACTGTGGGTAGGGGAACTGGGGATTAGCTGGCAACGAGAGGAACACAGGGTGGGCTCAGCCTGGGTTCTCACTGGAGCAAGTGGACGCCGACAGCAGGGGGTCCTCAAGACGTGGCTCACGAGCTTAGACCTCCTTCAGGACCCAGAGCGCCTATCTAGCCTGCGCGCTGCCCTTCCTATTGGTGACCTTGGGCCAGCCTCTGCCCCTCTCTGTCCCGGTGTCTGCTCTCCTGCCCCAGGCTAGCAGTTAAGCTCGTCTTTGGAAGCCAGCCTGAGTTCCTTGCCTCTCCCCAGGCGGTCACCTGATAAGCAGCAGCTCTTGGGAGAAGCTGGGTTTGGCCTAGTCCTGCCTGGGGTACCCTCACAGTCGCCTCACCCTCCTCTCAGACCATACTGGGATCCCAGTGGGAGAAGGATCTTGTCTGCTGTCTTCCTTCTCCAAGTTTCCCAAAGACTTGGGGTGGGGGCCAGTGGAGGGGGGTGCTGATAAGATAGAGTCTTGGCCTCAGCTGAACATTCTTGGCACATCTGTTCCACCCTGATCCTCAGCATCCCCTTCGACCAAAGGGTCTGATGCTCTCCACACAGATCTGACAGGAGCCCAGAAAGCTCCAAGGAGAGAAGGAGAGAGAAGGTATAAGTGGATGTTCCATACCCAGAGAAAGCTGTGTATCTCAGAAGTGGCTGTTAGAACTGGCATGGTGCCGGGTGAGGGAAGGTGGAAGGTGGGCCTAGGCTGAAGAGCCCCTTTTCTTTTTTTTTTTTTTTTTTTTAAAAATGACCGGTAAGGGGATCTCAACCCTTGGCTTGGTGTTGTCAGCACCACGCTCAGCCAGTGAGCACACCGGCCATCACTATATAGGATCCGAACCCGTGGTGTTGGTGTTATCAGCACCGCCCTCTCCCGAGTGAGCCACGGGCCGGCCATGAAGAGCCCCTTTTCTTTTTTTTTTTTTTTTTAAAAATGACCGGTAAGGGGATCTCAACCCTTGGCTTGGTGTTGTCAGCACCACGCTCAGCCAGTGAGCACACCGGCCATCACTATATAGGATCCGAACCCGTGGTGTTGGTGTTATCAGCACCGCCCTCTCCCGAGTGAGCCACGGGCCGGCCATGAAGAGCCCCTTTTCTTTTTTTTTTTTTTTTTAAAAATGACCGGTAAGGGGATCTCAACCCTTGGCTTGGTGTTGTCAGCACCACGCTCAGCCAGTGAGCACACCGGCCATCACTATATAGGATCCGAACCCGTGGTCTTGGTGTTATCAGCACCGCACTCTCCCGAGTGAGCCACGGGCCGGCCATGAAGAGCCCCTTTTCTTGGAACAGGACAGAGGTGCTGAGAAGACTACTTCTCCCTGGTTGTCTCCAGCATGTTGCTTTCTCCTCTCTGAATCTAGGGACTTTTGGACATCTGTCCCCCACCACTGCCTTCCTCTTCAGGAGCCCCCCGCCCATTTTGGGGTCCTACAGCCTCTTTTAGGTTGCCCCAGCTGAGGGCCCCCTTATAGTCTCAAGGTCAGTGTTGGGTGTTGGAGAGCAAGATTTTTAACAGACCTGCTACACACACACAGACCCAGAGCAGTTGTATCTTCCTGGGGTGGAGGGCAGGGATTCCCAACTGTAGGTTTGAACTGCCAGCTTTGCTGTGGAGTCTCCCCCCCCCAGAGCTGAGTTCACCCCACTGCCCTGTATCCCCTAGTAGAACTCACTGGCTGGGCTCCACAGCAGGCACACACATGTACCTGGAACACACCAGCCACCACCCCTGACATGATGATGACACAGCCATGGACACACCCCTGCCCAGATACAGTCACTCACCAGGAGCTTGTGGGGATCAGCACAGCCATTCACACACCCAGATACCGAATCAGCCCCAGAGATGCCCTCACCCACAAGTGGGACCTTTGCAAAGGACTTGCTAAACTGTCTGGACATGGCCACCCCCAGAGGCTCCAGCCTGACAGGCTATCCCAGGAAGGCAACTCTGGGCCCCAGCAGGCAGGTCATCTAAAAATTTGGCCCCCATCTCCCCGAGCAGGATTCCAGAGCTCCCACAGTGTAGCCAGGGTAGGTATGGAAAAGTACTTGGCAGGCTGTAGTGTGCCAGGGTTGTGTGATCCCCCCTCTTCCTGTGAGTGGTTATATGGCCATGATTTGTGAGGCCTTTCTAAGGGTCACTTGTAACGTACACTGTCAGATCTGGTTCCACTGCCACCAGCTCCTGTCTACCTCTTCCTGTCTCACAAGCAATACTGGCACTGTTTGTTCATGCTGTAATCTCTGCCTGGAATGCTTTCCCCAACTTCCCTACCTTTGGCTTGGCAGACTCAGCTCAGGATCAAGCCTGCCCTGATTCCCCCATGACACTCTGTGCTCTTGTGACTTTGGGTTATAATTAAATCTTAGTGCCACCTTCCCCAGCCAGCATGGTTCTCCTTGAGGGCAGGTCCTGTAGTTTTATTATCTTGGTGTCCTAAGGTCCAGCAGGGGAATAGACCCAGAACTGAGGCCTGGGGATGTATTTTGCAAGGAGTGAGGGAGGACCAGCAGTCTTCCTCAGGAAGCAGGGCCAACCCTTGCCCCACTCCCAGAGAGGAAGCCCCAGGATCACCATGCTGGGTGGGCTTCCCCTAGGAGGAACCTACTGCTTAGATTTTTGCTGGCTCAGTTCCCCCAACCCCAGCCATCCAAAAATATGGTGTTGCTGAACCCCTCAGTGTCTGGGCTGGTCAGATCCTTCATTGGGGAGAGGGGAAACTGAGCCAGTAGGGAGCAAGCTTTGCACAAGATCATAGCACCTAGTACGGCTGGCTTGACAAGGTGGGATCTGGTATGTGGGTTGGGAACTCTTCCCTTTGGTGGAGCTCACATTCACGGTTGGTGAGACTCGCCAATGCCTTTAAAGACCACTATTCACCTAGACCCTCAGCTGGGAGGAACAGAGGCCAGGATGGGAGTCTGACATGTAGGGGTAGGGGATCATTTCAGCCTCTAGGTCTTGGCCAGTGTGGACCTAGGTCTCTCTAACAGACATTCCTGTCCGTGGAGAGTGTGTGACTTTAGTCCTCCTACTGTAATTTTGGCACCTCTCTGGTAGACCCCACGCAGGTCCATCCTATGGCTTAACCAGGACCAGTGCCATTTAACCAGCCCACCTCAGCCAGGAAAGCACAAACATGAGGATACTTTGCTCTGGATCTTATTAGTGTGGTGGGAATACTAGAAATGCCTATAGAGAATGATCTGTCCTTTTGAAATAAAGAGAGATATTAATTACTGTTTAATAAACTTAGGGGAGTAAAGAACAATCTTTCAAAAGAAGGTCCACACGTGGGAGAACAAGTCAAGGGGGGTTTTGTGTTGAGAAGTAGGAGGTGGGATACTGAGCTTATTGAGCCCCTTGGTGGGTAAAGGGGAAACTGAGTTTCATAGTGAGATGGGCTCGTCAGAGGTCATGCAACTAGTCTGGAGCATAGGGGATCTCTGGAAATGGGGGAAGCATGGAGTCTCCACTCACTACCCATCTACTTCCTTCTAGACCTTGTCCTTTGCTGGCTGTGGAGTGGATCGGGCAGTGGCCCCTGTGGGTCCAGTCCCTGGAGCTGCCTGAGCCAGACATGCAGCCCTTGCCTGCCGGGGCCTTCCTGGAAGAAGTGACAGAGGAGACCCTGGCCCAGCCAGAGAGCGAGCCAAAGGTGCTGGACCCTGAAGAGGATCTGCTGTGCATAGCCAAGACCTTCTCCTACCTTCGGGAATCTGGTGAGTCTGAGGGGGCAGGCAGGCCTTGTCCTGGGAAGTCTGGTGGGGGAAGTTTAGCTCCACCTGTAGAGTATGATGACTTGGGAGTCATGGCACTGCCCTCTCCAGGGAAGTGTGAAGGTGGAAGCACAGCCCTGGGTTGGTGCCCCAGCTAATTTCCACCATGACCAGTTTCTTGGCCCCCTCTCCACTTGCCTAGGATGGTACTGGGGTTCCATTACGGCCAGCGAGGCCCGGCAACACCTGCAGAAGATGCCAGAAGGCACATTCCTAGTACGTGACAGCACCCACCCCAGCTACCTGTTCACACTGTCAGTCAAAACCACCCGTGGCCCCACCAATGTGCGCATTGAGTACGCTGACTCCAGCTTCCGCCTGGACTCCAACTGCTTGTCCAGGCCACGCATCCTGGCCTTCCCAGATGTGGTCAGCCTTGTGCAGCACTATGTGGCCTCCTGTGCTGCTGACACCCGAAGTGACAGCCTTGATCCCGCTCCCACCCCAGTCCTGCCTATCCCTAAGGAAGATGCACCTGGTGACCTAGCGCTGCCTGCCCCTGTGGCCACTGCTGTGCACCTAAAACTGGTGCAGCCCTTTGTGTGCAGAAGCAGTGCTCGCAGCCTGCAGCACCTGTGCCGCCTCGTCATCAACCGTCTAGTGGCCGACGTGGACTGCCTACCGCTGCCCCGGCGCATGGCTGACTACCTCCGACAGTACCCCTTCCAGCTCTGACTGGGCTGGGCACCCTGCCCAGCCTCGCCCAGCCACACCCTGGAGGGGACACTGGCCCCAGCTGGACTCGGGCTCCTGCTATCCCTCCTCTAGTCATCCTGGTGCCTGCATGCATCTGGCAGCTGGACCAGGAAGAGCCAGCAGAAACAAGGCAGGGGGGTGGAGGGAGGTGTCACACAATTTGGAGGTCAGTGCCCCTAGGCTCCGTGTGGCTCCATTGTGGTGAGCCATGTGTCAGAGGAGAGGAAGGCAGGACCTTGTCTCACCCTGTGGGCTAGGTCCAGGCTTCCACTCACTTGCCTGCCCAGGCCACCTTAACTGTGTAGAGTTTCCCAGCCCTTGTTTCTCAATCCCCAGGGTGGGGCAGGCCCCCTACTGCTACCCAGCCTCTGTTTCTGGGATAATGGCAACCAGAGGAACTGAGATTGATAGTGACAGTCCCCTTATCGGGGAGCAGGCTAGGTTGGGGGACTGCACAGTTATACAGTATTTATTTATTTATTTTCCTTGGGCTTGGTCTCAGGGGTGAGCTGACCCCACCTCTCTGCCCTGAGCCCTGGGTGGTTCAGAGCTCTGCCCTAGCTTCTCTGGTTTTTCCCTGTGGAGAGCCTCATCCTGAGACATGTTGCTGGACCCAAGGCAGTCCTGGATGTCTGGCACTGACCCACCCACCTGTGAATGTGTCCACTCTCTTCTACCCCAGCCCTGTTTTGGGAGGGTGGGCAAATGGAGAAGGAAATGGAGCCAGATCCTCAGTCCCCAGCAGAGCCTCTGGCAGGGCAGAGCCCTACCTGTGCAGAGCTGGCCTCACTGTGGCACAGGCCCTGCGCAAATGCAAGTGCTATGGCAGGAAGGGGTGCTGCTTCAATGGCTGCTGCTGCAGCTCTGTGGGGGTCTTCTTCCTGCCCAGAAAGTTGCCTGCGCATGAAAGAGGGAGAGAAATACATATCTGATAAGACTTTTTTTTTTTCTTTTTTGTCTTTTTTACTGACCGGTAACGGGATCACAACCCTCGGTGTCGCGCCCATACCGGGGACCGGCAACGGGATCACAACCCTCGGTGTTGCGCCCGCACCGTGCTCAGCCAGTAAGCAGGAACCGGTCTCCACATGGGATCTGAACCCTTGGTGGGAGTGCCACCGCACTCCCAAGCGGCGCACTTCTCCAGTGCGCCACCGGCCGGCCCCTGATAAGACTTTATAAAGTGATTATTATAACAAAAAACCAGTTTGGTAGTCATCTTCTACTGATTTTTTTGTAATGATAATAAAATTATACCTTTCATTTATGGAGCCCTCAATGGGGCATCTTTAGAGTTCTGTACACAGTTTGTCCCCTTGATCATTATCCTCCATTTTACATCTGGGCTAGCCGAGACCCACAGACCTCATGTTGCTGAGCAGTCCCTGCTGGGGAACTCACTGAGGAGTAGAGAAGAAAGGGAACAGCCTTTCTCTCATTTCCCTTTGTTCCCCTTGGGAGATTAGAGACAGGAGGTGAAGGCCAGTTGGACTGTCTGCAGGGTCACTGTCCAGGCCACTGCTAGATGGGGGCTAGTGGCAGAGGAACATCAGACCTGAGAGATATGTAAACAGGAAATGCCAATTCAAAATTGAAAAATTGGGGGCTGGCTGGTTAGCTCAGTTGGTTAGAGCGTGGTGATATAACACCAAAGTCAAGAGTTCAGATCCCTGTACTGGCCAGCCACCAAAAATAATAATATAATAATAATAATGTCTCAAAATTGAAAGTGGCTAATGCCAGGGGGGAGGGTGCTGTGGACCTCTCCTGGAGGAAGTGTCTTTTGAGATAAGAAGCCAACAGTCAGAGAAGTCAGGGCCAGTCCTTCCAGGGAGAAGGTACAGTGAGTGCAAAGGCACTGGGGCATGACTGGGAAGCTCATATTCCCGACACGAGGAGGCCTGGGGAGGGCTCGTCCTGTGCAATGGGGTAGGGCAGGTGAGTTGGGGACAGTAGTCGGGACTGGCAGGGTCTGGACCAGGCTGATTTGGGCTGGAGAACCCACTCCTCTCTCTGATGGTCCTGCACACCAGAAAAGCAATTAAGATGAAAACACCCTTCATTACTTTATGGTCTGACTTGGGAACACTTTAGCTGCTGGGATCCCACTATGTCCTGAAATTTTCTGTACTTTTGTTTGAGGGCCTCACAGGACCCTTATTTTGGAAACAATGATAACCCTCCTATTTTCTTTGCCCTCAGACAGAAGGTGCAGGTTAGAAGAGGCAAATGCTGATGTGCTGAGAGCAGGAAGGGGTGAGGAGTGATGTGCTCATGGTGAGGAAGAAGCACAAAAAAGAAAAACAGCAAGAACTGTGGAGGTCCATGACTCTGGGGACACGGAAATGGCATGGAAAAGAAAGGGAATGACAACAGAGAGTGAGCATGAGGTGGGATGGGAGGAGGGCTGCATTTACAAGGAGTGGTGCCCAGGCATTCAGCCTGGCACTTTTCCCTCTGTTGCTGGCAACGGGTTGGGCCCTTGGCTGGCTGTGGGGCCCAATGGCACGTCTCCTCTAGGTCACCATGACCCTGCCAGGGGTGTCTACAGTTCCTCATTACTTCAGCCTGGATCTCAGCCCCTTAGTGGTTCCCAGAATGCCCAAAGTGACCCCTCTGTCTGCTCTACTGCTAGATCTGAGTTATCTAGTGGGTGGGTATTGGACAGGGAGGGGCCAGAGGCAAACTATTGCCCACCTGGTGCTGCAGCCTGGACAGAAAGCTGCTGTAGCAAAGGGAAGCACAGAAAAACTTCATTGTCCACAGACAGGGAGGTGTCTCAAGGTGCCTGCCAGATGCTAGGCAGTGGGCAAGGGCTTTGCACATCATGCAACACTCACCACAACCCTGGGAGTGGGGTCCAATTATTACCTGCACTCCATAGATGAGGAAACTGAGGCTCAAAGGGGGCAAGGGGCTGGCTGAGGCCACTCAGCAAGTGGGACACAGAGCAGAGCTAACCCTGAGGGGTCCTGACTGCCTGCCCCCTGGACTGCTACATGAGACAGGGAGGAAAGGCAGCAGAGGTAGTAGCTGCCAGGGAAGTTGCTCTCGGATGCTGGTTTCTATCCAACTCCTGACACTTTTCTGGTTCAATCTTGTTTTCATGTTTCCCTACCAGGGGAATGAGTCATGCCTGGCTAAAACAAAGACAGTGGAGGACATGTCATTGGGCCCCAGACTCAAGTCAGAGAACCAGCCTAACAGATGCTGAAAATTCTCTGGCCAATTCAATCAACCCTGGGTGGTCCTAGGCTAGTAAAAGGGGCACATCCTGTTGGCACTAGTTGGGGAGAAAGGGCTGAGCCATCTAATGGGTGTGCGGGACCCTGCACAACATACAAACAATAACTGATGGTGACCCTTTACCGATTAAGTCCTTCACCAGTACCAACTGGGCCAGACTCCAGCTAGGTCCTGGGGACACAGCAGGGAACAAAACGGACACAGTCTCCATCCTCATGGGGCTTATGGGCTAGTGGGAGAGAGATAGTAAACAAGTGAATAAATGGGCACACAGGACAAGTTTTAAGAGTGTAAAGAAAGCGCAGCAGGGGCATGGGGCAGAGAGTGGCTTTGGGTGTGGGGACACCCCTACAACTGAAACGGTTAGGGAAAGCTCTGGAGCAGGGTGGCACTGAGCTTGAAGACCTGAGCAAAGAGCAGGAACTGGCCATGCAGACAACTTGGGGAAGGGATGTCCCAGGTGGAAGGAACCACCAGTACAATGGCCCTGAGACAGAAACAAACCTGGAGTCTGGAATAGCTGCCCAGGAGGGTTGGGAGGGCAGAGAGGACATGTGGACTTTATTCTAGTGTGGTGGAGCACCTATCTTCTGATCTGATGCTCATTTCTAAGGGATGTACGTGTCAGCTGGGTGGGAATGGCCCCACGAGGGCCTGGAGACAGAACTCCAGAAAGAAGCTTGAGAGGTATGGGATTTGGAGGAGTAGAGTGCAGTGGAGATGGGGAGGAGGTGAGGGCAGCAACTTTGTGACCCTGGGCGGGGTTCATGCCCCATGGAGTTCTTGTTGCAATCCTACACACCAGCAGAGTTTGTCCCTGTTTACAGCTGAAGAGGTAAGGCTCAGAGATGGGTGGTGGTTTGCTCAGGGTCAAGATTCAAACCTTGACTCCAGACCTTGTTTGTGTAACCACTGTTCTGCTCTGCCTCTGAGGGGCTGGCTAGCTAAAGCCTCAGCACCCACAGGTTCAGAGGGCATGCCGAAGGGTGGGGAGATTCAGGAAGTCTTTCTGAAGGAGGGGGGATGGAGAATGGGCCCTGGAGAATTCCATCAGGCTACCGGGAGTTGGGTTTGGAGACTGATTCTGTATGGTGTACTTCCCTGAATTCACAAATCTCCCTCTGGAGTGACTTTGGGACAAAGAAGCCACTAAGCCATCCAGGTATTTGTCATCAAGGTTTAACTGGCCAGTGTCTTGCTAGGATACTTCACTCATGATCACCGAATGACCCAACATACCCTTGATCACTGGGGCCCCTGCACCTAGGCAAGCCTTTTAATCTGCCAACTAAGTAAATCTTGTTGGGGCAAGGCTAGACAACAGACACATGTATGAGTGGGGCTGGGGGCCATGGCTGGGCCGGCTCTACTCTCACATGGAAACTCTCCCAACCCACATGACTGCCCAGAGTGAAGTGGAGGGGAGAGGGGCCTGGGAACTGAAATAAGGCCTGACCAAGAAGGCAGGAAGATTTAGGATCTGTGCATGAGGCATCTCTTCCCTCTGGGGACCTCACAGAGGCCCTCTTCCTCCAGAAGAGGTGGAGCCTGTGCAGGTCTGGGCAGCCCTTTCACACCAACCTGTTAGACCAGTTTTAATATAAAGCAGGTTTGAGCCTTGCCAGAAATTCAACAGCCTCTCGTGGTGAATGTATCCTCCCCACCCCACAGCCAGGGGATCACTCCAGTGGTCACTCTGGGGCAGCTGGCTGGGGCTCCTATATCTGAAACTCAAGAGGGAGGAGGACCCTGGGGGTTTAATTCTGGCCAGAATGCAGACCACAGAGTGGCTAGAGAGGGGCTGGGCCTGGCTTTTGGGGAATGTGGAGTGAGTGGAAGCTGACACCCATCTGTGAGCAGGAGGAGCCTTTTTGGTGTGGCCAAGGATTTCTGCTCAATGGAAAGACAGTTGCTTTCATGACCCAGACATGGTTGAAGCAGGCAGATCCCGAGTGCAGGAGTTAGCCTCTGAGGGCTGAGGGAACTTGGGACTGCCATGTCTCTGCCAGGCAGTCCTCCAGGATTGCTCCTCCCACACAGTCCCCACTAGTGATTTGCATACACTGGCCATGCCTCAATGGTGTGGCCAGAGGGGGAGTAGTATCCAGCAACTGCTTCCCAGACTACTCCAGGGATTCTCCCCACACCTAGCACCAAAGAGCCAGACTGAGCCTCCCTGTCACCAGAGCTGGGCTCCTCCACCAGAGGGGAGGATTTCACTCATACTTTGGGTTGGGCCAAAACTTTGTTCTTAAAAGTGCCTTTCAGCCTTCAGCCTCCTCCCAGGAAGCACTTCACTACTCCCTGCCATCCCAGCCCTACCTCTGAGCGACATCAGAGTGTGTGTGTGTGTGTGTGTGTGTGTGTGTGTGTGTGTGTGTGTGTGTGTGTGTGTTGACATTTCCACTTGGCCAACATTCCTTTGTTTTTCTCAGCTCCTTCAAGAGGATGGTGTGGTAGGAGGAGCTGCTGAGACTACTCTCTCAGAAAAGGTTCCCAGGGAACTTTTTCTCCAAAGCCCCAGAGACATGGAGCCCAAGGAGACACCAGAAAATGAAGGCTTATCCATAAGGAGATGGGTTCCAGGGGCAGCTGAAGGGGTATGGGTGAGAAACAAAGAGGATCCTCCTGGCAGAGAGCACTGTTAACCCTGGTGTGAGTGCCTTCAGGAGCATGCCCCAGGTACCCTTGCCAGG